TGCAGCCAATGCTGGTGCTACCTGCTTAGTGTCTCAGTGACAGATTGCAGTCTAAGTCTCCATTCCTCAAAGCAGGGATGTATCCTCCATTCCTTTTTGTCCTCTTAGTTTTCTTTTTAATTTTGCAGAAGGTAGAGAAAAAATAGAGAAGATGTGTGTCATAATGTCTTTCTTAGAACTCTCTCTTTCTGCAAGGAGCTCTTGGAAATGCGTATTTCAAGAAAGTAAAAACAACAACTCTCATATGTACTAAACACTTAAAAAATCCTCAAACCACATGCATCCTTCTTACATATATTATACCTTTAAATAGTGTTTTCTAAAATCTCACAGATTTATTACTCTATAATTCCTGGCATACCTAGACTAGATTTCAGACCTTTAAACAAAATCTTTCTTTGCTGTCATTGCATTTACAAACCTCCCACAATTTCAGCATCAGAAAGTCTATTATTTTTAAATAAAAGGAACAGAGAAACTCTACCCAGTAAGTTGAAACAGTCCTCCTTAATGGACCAGAAAAGTGCAAGTTGTCATAACACTGGAATGCATATTGGTCTCTGTCTTCCTCTGCTCTTTCAGAGATGACTCTACAGACAATAAGCATGAATTTTCTAATACACCATAAAAGAAAATTTACTAAAAAGCTACTGACATGACTGTTCTGAAGTCATGACAATGTTCTCTTCAATATGCAATTACAGGTACTTAAGTTGTTAGACTTTTCTTAAGAATGCATGTGCACTGTAGGAGAATGACATTTACGTCACACATTTGTACCCTACAAGCTTACAGCATGCTCTGGTAGTGGAAGCAAGTTTAACCTACAAGCCCCAGACATGTACAGAATGTACTGTGCTGTAAAACACAAAACAAACACCTTCATTAAGTTCAAAATATGAGTTGAACTGAGAGCTGTCATCATCACCAAATCTTTAAGCTTTGCAGAAGCCAGTAAGGGAAATACTCTTTAATGCAGGAGTCCATGGAGGATAAGAAAGATAATGTGGTGTTTCCATCACATCTAAATAAAAAACACCAGGCAAACTGATGCCAACATAATGTGCTGATTTCTCCTAATTCAGATAACGTTTTAGCCTGCTCAAAGACAGAAAGAGAGGGAAAGAATATTGCCTTTCAATACTTGACTTCAACTAGAAGAAGGAAATCTTGACAAATCTGGTGATACAGTACTATGATTTGGAGATATATTGTGCTAAAGAGAACCATAACAATGAGTATTGAGAAGCATTACAATCACCAAAAAAGAAGTTTGAAAATAAAATTTTTAATCAGAATTAAACATCTGTTATCAAGGCAGATCTATGATAAAGCTTTATTTCTTCATTCATAGGGTAAGTGAATGGCTCAGAAGAGAGATACTTTGTCACACCCCTTATCCTTAGGACACAGAGGTACAGTAATCAAAGAGTTACACATCATCAGATGCTAAATCTACCTAAAATTGCCAAGCTCACACTAAAGAGTGCAGAAATAGGACATAACCACCACCATCACTCAACAGTTGATGGACATTTGTAATCACATTGGTCCTTGAGAAAGTATAGTAAGAAAGACAGGAGACCACCCAATGAGTTCTCACTCATTCCTCTGTCTTATTCCATTTCTAGGCCACACTGAAGATCTTCAGGAAAATAGATTCGTATTATGCTGAAAGATCATCATAAAAACTGATGTCATCCTTAAGGCCAATGATCACTCAAAATTAACATGCATGAAGAAACCAGGATGTTGATACATCTGCAAAAATCAAAGCATTACTAAAATGTCTGCAGACATTACATGACACTGAGAGTGCTTCTGCTGCTTCCCTTTTAGTTTCTGCAAATTGCATTGATCTACAATTTATCTCTGGTTGTATTCACTTTTACCTTCCTGTACCTTCTTTTTTTTTTAAGCATGCCATCAGTAATGCTTAAATTTTAACAAAGGTGTGTCTATAACAACTGGTAACAAACCAAAAGTTCAGTATCAAAAAAAAGGCCAAAGTTAAATAAATGCTGTAAATTACTTCAAATTTCTATTTACGTCTTTCACTGCATACTTCTGCTCTACTTTGTACATTTGTCTGATAATGCACTGCTTTCCCACTGATTTTTATTCTCTTCATTTAACTTTCTCTTAATTTAACTTTCTCTCATTTGTATGCTCAGATTTCTGATCTTCACCTGTGTTATCTACCCTGAGAAGCAATCATTACATTGCCATATTTCTTTCTTATATTAGCTAATGCAAAAAAATTCCATTTCTTTTTCAGAATTCAGATTCTTCTTTACTGGTCAATATGCACTGGAAGGCAGAGTCTTTTGTCTACAATGAAAAGTCCAGACATATGCCTGGAACAAAGTAGTACTTCCAGAAGTAGTTGAAAACCATGTCTTTTAATTACATGATTAATTCTTCTAATTGGTGAATTCCTACAGACTAGGAGTGACCACTAATACAGATTTACATGCAAGTTGATCCATTTCACAAGACTAGCCCTTATTATGGGCTACATCTATGGAGAGTAAGGGGGAAATGAAGATGAATGATCACAGTAGGAATTAAAGATTTCCCAGAAGGAAAGAAATCCCCTGTTATCAACATGCAGTCAAGAACAAGTTGTCCAGTTATTTAGTGGCTGGGAAGAGGAACAGCAAAGCACTAAGGCTCTAGAAAAACAGTGTATGAGGCAATGGTTTGTCACCAGCTGGTCCCAAGCAAAGGTTACTGATGAACCATGAACATGACTACTTCAATATTGACCTACTGCAAGAGCCCCTCTGCTTGCAGAGGGAAAGGACTAGGCAGTTTAGAAGACTTCCAGGTATCATGATTGTGACTCAAATATAAAACAAATGTTTATCACCACCTCCCAGGTTGTGGAGCAGAGGAAGATGTGACATGATAGCCTCCTTCAATATCTTGGTTTTTTTCCTATTCTCCAGGTGCAGCAATAACAGAGTCCATGGTTACCTCTTTTTCATGCTAGCCTTGAAGTTCAAGACTCCACCTGGAGCCAAGACTCATACCACAGAACCTGAAAAACAGCTTGGCCAAACCAAAACCTATTTTCTTCATTCTCATCACTCACTGCAACTCCTAGAGCAACATAAACAAAGCTGCCCACTTCATGATAGCCCTTCCCTTCTCACAATCTTTGAGTAGAAGGTTTCCTTTCCTGGGGGAAAAGATAAGAGGATAATTGTAAAAGGCAGATTTGTTTAAAGTTTAAGCCCGCTATACAGTGTAGGATGAAACTTGGACATCACGATGATCCTGGATTAATCTGCAAGTAGAACCAGCTTCCTTTCCTGGCAGACCATAGGATGCTCATCTGCTATTCCTCCTGTGCATGTCTCTCATGCCTCCTTCTCATTCATGTTCGGCTTTATTACCCCAGGTTCTGTCATTACCAGGACATTACTATTTCTTTCTACTCTCTAAACAGGTGACAATTTAAAAATTCAGTGCACCGTGAGTGATATCCACACCCATGACATCACAGTGCCTGACATCTGTGGCCTTGGAAAATCTGCACTATTAATGTATCAAAACCCACAAAAACAAAAAAAAAAAGAAATTAGTAAAACCACAATCACAGGTTATTTTCTTTAAAACACTGAGTAACTCTTCAGGAAGTTTTTATCCGCTTCAATCAAAAGCAAACAATCGCTATGCGTCAGCCTTGCCATGGTGTGAGGCTGCGGCAGCCCTCCCCGACCGCGCCGGCCCCGCTGCCTTTCAGCACCACGGACCAGGGCCAGAGGCCGGGGCTGCCGCAACGCCTCTCGCTCCTCCCGGGGACATGGCCAACTCCTAAATTCCTCACGGTAACTTTCCTTCAGGCTGTTCCTGGGGCCACTGGTGCACGGTGCCTTTTTTTTTTTTTTTTTAACATGGTGTTGAAATAAAAAGAAAGGGCAGCAACGGGATTTTCTTTTTGACTTGGGATACAAAAAGAAAAACTCCATGAGCTCAACCTTCCTAAAGTTTTTATAGATTAAATAATTTTGAGCTCCAGAGTGCAATTAGAAAAAAAGAGGGGAAATCATAAGAGAAGAAAATGCCTTTTGTTCCAATCGACTATTGTCAGACCCAAAATATGATCAGTGACTCCTGATTTGAAAAGAAAAAAAATTAATTTAGTAGGCCTCCTGAAGATAAAGACAGATTGATTTTTCATCAAATATACTGAGGAAATGCATTACAGTTCTTCCTAGGTCTGCTCTTGTAATGGTTTTCCCCAAATTCATGTAAGTTCTGCACAAACTCAAAAACATGTCTACAATCACTCAGGCCCAACTGCTGTTAATTTTCTTCTGACGGAAAAGGCTTTGTTCAGTTCAAAGGTATACATTCTGCAATGCTTTTCCAAGCTAAAAGCAAAAGGGCTTTTTGTTAACTTATGGCCCTCCAAAGCCTCCATTCAGCCTCACCTGCGAAGAGTGAAAGGGGTTTTATGGACAAGTAGAACATTTTTCTCTATTAGGACTAATCAGTTTCTGCAAAGTCAGGGTGAGTTCACATCGTTAGCAGAAAGCTCACAAAGGGAATCATCACAAAGACCCTGAAGTGCATTTTAATTTCAAGCCACTGTGTTTTACACTGTCTGCCCTTCTCTCTGGTTCAGTTTACGCCATGCTGCCCTCCGGGACGGGTCCTACTGGCTCTCTGAAGACCACCTCAAGTCCTCAGAAGTATCACGGTTGGTTTAACTCCCTCTGAGGTTTAACCGGATCTGATACTTGATTCCCTCTGAAGACCTGAGCTTCTATATTCATTACTCACGCTACAAGTGTTATGGGACAAGGAACACATTTCTCAGGGCACTTGAGAGGATGGCGGTACGAGGGCTGCGCTGTTATCTGAACTCCACCTGCCGCGCTCCCTGCTTCCCGGCAGTGCTGGAGCCATGGAGCGCAGCGTTCCAAGAGCAGCGTCCCCAGAGGCCGGACCGCGTGGGCTCGGACCATGCGGGGCCCTGCGGAGCTCACCTGGAGGAGGGGGCGGCCTAGCGCGGTGTGCTCGGCCAGGCGGGCGCGGTACACGGCGCGCTCGAACCGCGGCTCGTTGTCGTTGGCGTCCTCCACGCGCACGCTGAGGCGGCACGCGGCGGCGCGCGGCGGGACCCCGCCGTCCCGCGCCACCACGCGCAGCTCCAGCGCCTCCTGCCGCTCCCGGTCCAGGCGCCCGCGAGTGCTGACGGCGCCGCTCCGCGCGTCGATGCGCAGCAGGGCCAGGGCGGCCGCGTCGCCCTCCAGCGCGTACCGCACCTCGGAGTTGGGCGAGCCCGGCTCGTCGGCGTCGGAGGCGCTGAGGCAGAGCACGGCGGTGCCGGGGCAAGCGGCCTCCGAGACGGCGGCGCGGTAGTGGGGCTGCGGGAACGCGGGTGTCTCGTCGTTGAGGTCGGCGACGCGCAGCAGCAGCGGCTCCTCGGCGGACAGCGGCGGCGTGCCGCCGTCCATGGCCACCAGCCGCAGCTCGTACAGGTCGCGGCTCTCGCGGTCCAGCGGCCCCGCCACGCAGAGGAAGAAGACACCGGCCCCGGCCGTCCGCAACGCGAAGGCGCCGTCGCCGCCCAGCAGGGCCAGCGCGATGCTGTCGCCGCCCTCCCCGCTGCCGCCCTCGTCGGCGTCCGAGATGGACACTCGGGCTACGTAGTCGCCGGGCCGCGCCCCTTCGGAGACCTGCGGGCCGCCGGTCTCGGTGAGGTAGAGCAGATGGATGGAGGGCCGGTTGTCGTTCACGTCCAGCACGGCCACGGAGACGAGGACGCTGGAGACCTCGGGCTGGGCGCCGCCGTCCTGCGCCTCCACGACAAGGTGGTGCAGGGCCCGCTCCTCGCGGTCCAGCGGGCGGCGGAGGCGCAGGACGCCGCTGCCCTCCTCCACCGCGAAGTAGCCGTCGGGGTCGCTCTGCCGGCGATTGATGGCGTACCGCACCTCGCCGTTGGCGCCCAGGTCGGGGTCAGTGGCCCGCAGGCGGCAGACGGCGGTGCCTGGCGGCGCGTCCTCCCGCAACCGCGCCCGGTACTCGCCGCGGCTAAATGCGGGAGCATTGTCGTTCTCGTCCAGCACCCGCACGGACACCCGCAGGTGGCCGCGTCGCCGCGGGCTGCCGCCGTCCCACGCCTCCACCACCAGCCGGTGGACGTCCGCCCGTTCTCGGTCCAGACGCCGCAGCAGCACCAGCTCCAGCGGCTCCGGCCGCACATAGCGCAGGTGGAAGAGCGGCGGCTCCCCCGCCGCGCCCCCCTGCTCCAACAGCGCGTAGCCCTGCGTGCCGAAGAGGCCGGCATCGGGGTCACGGGCAGCCGGCAAGCGGAAAGCGGTGCCAGGCGGGCTGAGCTCGGAGATGTTGAGCTGCAGATTGTCCTTCGGGAAGCGTGGCGGGTGGTCGTTCACGTCGGTGACAGCGATCTCCACCTGAACCACCTCGCCGCGCAGCGTTGCAGCCGCGAAGCTGTAGCGCGCCCGCCGCTCCCGGTCCAGGCGCCGCGCCGTGCGGATGATGCCCGTCTCCGGCTGGACGTGGAAGTCCGCCAGCAGCGCCGACTCGCCGCTCCCCTCCGACAGTAGAAAGCCCCCGGGCGGGTCCGCGCCCGCCGGCAACCCCGCGCGGATGTCGCCCACCAGTGTCTCTGCCGGCAGCCCCTCGTCCACTGTCAGGCTGAGGTTATACACCGGCGCCGCGTCGCCGGCCGCCGCGCCCAGCCATAGCGGCAGCAGCAGCGCCAGCGCCCGTCCCGTCGGGGGAATGCCGCCCTGCCTGCCCCGGCACCTGCCGGCCCGCAGCCACCGCGCCATGCCTGGCAGGTAAGCCGGCATCACGGGCAACCTATGCCCTGCTACTCGCCACCGCCACGCAGGTGTCTCCGACTCGCCGCTGCGGGAGCAACTCCGGAACGCCGCCGCCGGTGATGGGAAGGACAAGCGTCTGGGAGGGGGCGGGAGAACGGCTGCCACCGCCCCGCGCAGCCCCCGCCCCACCGCCCTTTCGTACCCTGGGGGCCACCACCCACCCAGCGCCATGGCCGGGGGACAGCGGCAGCCACGTCCCTCACGCACGGACGTGTCGCGCTGGGTCGGGATGGTGTGACGCTGCTCCAGTGCCGTCCAGAATTCGGAGAGGTCTTCTCCGAAATTCATTACTCGGGGAGTCACCTGGCTTCCTGCTGATGGGGCAAAGTGTGACTAACGCCTGGGCTGCCTCTAGATGCAGAGGCATGGCTCGTGAAGGAGAAGAATTTAAATTAAACAGAAATCTACGAGGACAAACGAGTTTGCACAGTTCAGCAAAGATTTGTCTCGCCTTAATATTCTGGTCCTCATTTTCCATTAAAAGGCTTGCTTGTTATCCTAGCACTAGGTCAGTAAATAGCAACTCACCATGGCAGAAAAGCATTTACCAGAAGTAAGCTTTAAGTAGAAACTTCAATCAGTTTCAGCAAGACCAGAACTTCTTTCCTTTACCACTATTCCTGACTTCCATATCTATCTCAGAATGGTTTAAGTGTTTCTTCAATGACACTGAGAATACACAGCATCATATAAATGCAACCACCCATCTATGCATGAAAGCCATGTACAATACTTCAGTGGTTACCAGTCTCTTGCCGTTCCCACCGATCCTTTTATAAACTTAACTTCATCTTTCTGGCAAGAATCTAACAGCTGTTCAGAGAAAACAAACTTCATCTTAGGACAAACAAATAAAATCAGGGCAAAGACAGTAAGTAGCAGGAGGAGTTACTATAACTCATTCATCTCCTATGAAGCGGCATTTGAGAAGGCAGCTATTTTACAATTTGCCTCTTTTCCAAGTCCATGAAAGAACTACCCAAGTACACTGCCAGAGCACTCTGAGGAGGGAGCAAACTCACTGCAACAGTGAGGAGAAGGGGAAGAGGATTTTTTTCCAACATTTTTGAGACCCACACAATACCATATATCCGGGTAAAGAGGGAGAACTAGGTTCTCAATTAAGTTTAGAAGTCTTACTTCATGTGTGTAGTTGCATGGACAAGAGGGGGAACACATGAGATCACATCCACTGTATCTGACTTGCCTCCTTACACAGACAAATGAGACAGAGTAAAGCTAGATCTTGTCAGATCTTCTTAGGCAGAATCTGAGAAAGTCTCTGTATATTTATACACTGTAATAATTACAAGCATAGAAGCAAGAAGGAAATGCAGAGTCTCTTGCCAGCTTCATTAGTATTCATTGAGAAAACACATGGACCCTCCTCAAGTCACTGATGTTCAATATGAAAATGCCTGAATTCCACTCAATCACAGCAAGTTTGGAAAACAGCCATGTCCCATGCAGCCCATGCTGCCACTAAGAAAACACGTGAATCATGTTCAATCAGGCACATTCACCAAAATCTAAACAAAACCTGCTGTTGACATGGTCAGGCAGTGCCTAAAGAGCAAAATTTTGTACTCAGATACAGCATGCATAAAGATAGCAGAGGAAAAATAAGACTGACGTAGTTATCTGTGGTTCTGGAAGTATTCATGTATTTTGTGAAACCAGGGCACTTCAACAGTTTTATATGAAGCAAATTATGGGAAAGCACTGCCCAACTACAGCATGTTTCCAGAAACACTACATCTTCGGTACAGTGTAGATGTTTTGCCTACTGTGAGCATGAGCTTTACCTCTTAAGCGTTCTTACACTTTCTTTGTGTTTCCGCCTTCTCTGAGTCTATTCTTTCTTCTATTCATTTCTTAAATATTTTCTCTTCCTCTCTTTTGCCATGTTCATGACCTAATTCTTCCACAAATCACAAACAGAAGTTTCTAAATCTTGAGGAGATGTTTGCAATATCCTGGATATATTTAGCTACCCCTGCTGTTCCCCATCTTCTCAGTGACATGCTGACCTACACAAAAAAAGAAAACTGACATTCCTAAGACATGGAGGGAAGCTACCACAATGACATTATCCCAAAGGAAGCATGGTGTCAAAGTTTTAGTGCACTAGCCACCTCCTACATCCTCAACAGATTGCTCTCATAGTGAAGACACTTGTCAGCTCCTCAGATCTACAAAGTCTTCCAGTGTAAAAAGTGGACAGGAGGATAAGCATATTATTTGAAGATGGGGGATGTTCACAAGATGGGTTAGAGTACACAAAATGCCTGAGCATTCCAGTTTAGAAGGTACTGTCTGTTGGTGAGCCAGCCTGCTCAGTTAGATAGCAGGAAGTTACTTCTCCTGCTGTTCTCCCATTCCATTCCTGGAGGTGGCCACGTCTGACTTTGTAGGCAGATGAACAGCATAGGAATCCACTTTCAAGCCACAGAAGTTTCAAACCCTGTGTCTTCAGGCAACCCTACATGAGCATCCTTCTAATCCAGTATGCAAGGCAGTGAACTCTGGTGCTCCCGAGCAGATCCATGTGCCAAATTCAGCTGTAGTGTGGCAGGGACCCCCTCCAGGAAAGGAGCAAGGAAGGAAACTTGGAAGGTGATACCTGTATCAGCTGCTCAAATTTAATCTGCCCATATTTGCAAATTACAATTTACTATAGCTCAGTCCTCCTTGGATTAATTGGAAATTCTTTTTCCTTCAAGGAGAATTAAACTATAGCAAACTAAAGCTGGGTATGACACTAGAGTGCAAAAGATCACTGAAACAGAGATAGTGTTACAACCATGAAGGTCTACCAATAACAGAGTTAATTCTACCTACTAACATTGCCTCGCCCACACAACAGCTGTGGCAGGTGAAGATGTGACTTTCCCGTGCTGAAGATATGCCTGAGGTGGTTAAGCAGTATGACCACTTCCTTTTCTGTCGCTCACTGGCTCATTGCAAACCATCTTTAGCAGCAGCAATTAAAGCCAAACCACCTGACTCGAGACTGACGCAGGGTGGGAGCACTGCAGGATCCAATCCAGCACTCATTAGATTGGCAGTAGCAGCCAGCTGAGGGCAGAGCATGGCTGAACTGCTCCAGACAGAAATGAAGCAAATAAAATAAAACCTGAAAAATTTTCCATGAAGCTGTTTCCTGCAGTTTGAAGATAGCATGGTTTCAGCTGCTTGTTACTGCCTTTCAGCCAGTGGGCACTATGCTTCCATTTCTGCCTACCAGGTGATGTTCCCTGTGGGTTTAGTTTAAGGACAGAGATTAGTTTAAGCAATGCTGAGACAATGATTTCCATTAACCCCAGTGATTTTTTTTCCTATGCTGGGTTACAGAACGCCCATATAAATCAGCTTTCTGGCAAAATTGTGGCATGGGGAAGCACTAACGTCTTCAACTATTGCAGCTGGATCTAAGAAAGGATATTTGTTTCCAGCCTCACTGGCTGGGGTCACTATGGATATTCAGCCTGTAATATGTGATATATGGAGAAAGACTTAACTTTGCAGAGCATCAGGTGTTTCATTATTTATAGTTCTCCAGGCACACATATATTGATTTCAGCAACACCTCCCTGAAGGAGTGTCAGCTGCACAAAAGATTTGCTGGTGACCATATGGAGGCTGGTTACAGTTACTATAATAAAAAGCTATGTAGGGACTGCTCTCCTTATAAATGCAGAGAAATGTAATGAAGAGGTTGCTTTTTCTCTGGTAGCCATCATTTAACTCTTAATCACAAGCTAATTTACCAAACTCCTTTTGCTGTGAAATAATAGATGCTTTGCCTTCTCTGATAAAAAATCATGTAGTTGTCAGAATCTGATTGGAAATAATAAACCTGAGTCTATATTCAAAGGTAGGAAAGACTTTCTGACTGCACTACAGATAGTAGTAGTGGGTTTTTTCAGTTTCATTCCAGATATACCACAATGCCTTTTCTCTGCCTGTAGAACATGTTGCTGCTGTGGACAATTACTTCAGAATTTGTCACTCAGATAAAACCATCTAAGTAGGATTACTCAGATCAGTATTTTCACATTAACTTTATTTCTAGTCCACTTATATGCTGTCAATCAGATGTAATCGTCTGTCGCAATTTTATGTTTCCATTTTATGGGTTTTCATTAATCTCTTTGCTGTTCATCCCACTACACTCCTTCCCAACTGCAAATCCAAGTGTCACATCACTTGTCAAGATGATTGCTCAAATATACTTAGATTTGCCTGAAAAAATTGGCTGTGTCCTACACATGTTAAATTTATCCTACTGTCCGGTGCAGGATGAAGACATTTCTTGTTATCAACAAAGGTTATAGAAAATATCAAATGAAATATTAAAATAAATATTAACATAATTAAATTAGATTCTACTAGATAGGTGTTCATTCAGATTTTGACATCCTAACCAATTTTACATCTATACCTATATTTACTTTATAAACTTGGTCACAGAATCTAGCCATGAGATTTTTATCCAAAAGTAAAAGACCCCATATTTGATTGCTGTTCAGTGCCTCATTTGTAATTAACATAATACGGGGTTATCTTTAAAAAAGAAGAAAGGCTTATTTCTTTCGATATCTGTTACCAACAAGCTGGCGCAGATTTGAAGCAATCTCTTTAGGATGGCAGGCCAGGAATAAACACACAAGAGCTTCCCACTACATGGACTGCATTCCACGTAAAGCTGTCTTTTGCCATCTGCTTGCCACTGCTGAATCCAGACCTTAGTGGCCTCTCTAAAACCTGAAGGGTAGCTCCAGAAAGCGTGAAAAAATATATCCCAGGCTGGATTTAATATTCCTTGGATATAATATCTCCCTTGACTACTATGTTGAATTTTCACATAAAATTTATGAGATTATCTACATTATCAATTTTTCTCACACAATAATAGATCACAACCTGCAATCAGATCCAGTAGTCAAATTCTATGTATGTAGAAGTGTGAAAGAAAAAAAGACACAGATGTGAGAAACAAAACGGGACCAAAACATGTTATCTGATGTGTTTGTCTGAACTGCAGATGATACTGAAATTATGCAATGACCAAACACATTTGCAGGAGCTCCAAATCCACATAACTTTCATCTGGATGCAGCCTCTTAAATCAGGGATGTGAGTGCAGCATTACTGAAATTATTCCATATCTACAGGATATGATATCCTAGCATTTACTATGCTGCCCAATCTAACTCTCTCTAAGCTCTGAAGATTTGAAAATCAAGAACTGGCTGAGAGCATGCAAAACAAAACCATTACAACCA